GGGGGGGGGGGGGGGGGGGGGGGGGCCGGGGGGGAGGGGGAGCGAGTGATTGAATTAGACAGAAGAAACCTACCAGTTGTTTTGAAAAAGAGTTTTGAAAAAGAGGAAAAAAAGAAAAGAAGAAAGAATAATAAAAAAGGGTCCGTCTCGAGTCATGATTCAGCTTTGTCGTGTCAAAACCCTGGAGCCCATCATGAGGAATCTTGCCGATGAAATATACGATATACATATACACACAATGTCCATCATCCTCACGCGTAACCTGCTTTAACCCTCCCTCCGCCCTGCCGCCCCCATCTGTCGTCTCTGGCGCTGCTGCCTTCGGAGACGAAAGAGGGGGGAGGGGCTGCATGTATGGCGACCGCGCGAGCCATCGATGATTTGACTCTGACATCCGGACAATCCGTAACCCGGGAGGGGCAACCATGAAGGAGAGGGAGAGGAGGAGTAGCAATACCACAGTCCATTAACGGGGCTCGTTCACAATATGTCGCGTATCATGATTATTACCGTCATCATCATCATCATGATGATTCTTGTGATGATTATTACAGAGTATGATGGATAAATACAGATGGGCACACATTCGCATGTAGTAGGTATTCATGGTATTTCAGATAGATGAAAAGAAGAAGAGCATCGTTGCAGTGCTAAACTCGTCCCAGTCGGATGGTCAAGATGTGTATATATATATATATATATGTGTGTGTGTGTGTGTGTGTGCGTGTGTGTGCGTGTGTATGTCTATGCCTGTCATTCTTTCTTTAAAAAGTCATGGTAGTATCTCGTAGATTATTTGATGGGAAACGAGACCCTTCCCGAGACCTTGAGCTAGGAAGGTGACCTCGGATGAGGAGGGGGGTTTGGGAGGGGGGCCGAGACACAGAGAGACAGAGAGAGAGATGACAGAGAGAGAGAGACGGAGAGAGAGAGAGAGAGTGTGTGTGTGTGTGTGAGTGTGTGTGTGTGAGAGAGAGAGAGGATAGAGAGAGTGATCGCCCGCTAGGACCACGCATCGATTTCACTTGCTGCTGAAGATGCATGTCTTAGTACTGGACGCGGGGACAAATAATATAGAGGCAGAAATGTGGGTTTCCTCTGTGTATATGTGTGTATGTGTGTATATGCGTGTGTATGTGTATGTGTGTATGTGTATGTGTGTGTGTGTATGTGTGTGTATGTGTCTTATGACTCTCTACAATGTATGAATACATACATATATATATATATATATGTGTGTGTGTGTGTGTGTGTGTGTGTGAGCGTGTGTGTCCATCTCCTCTCTCTCCCTCTCCCGAGTTCTCCCCGTCATCTCTTCCTCTCCGCGCGCGCAGATACTCGTACGACTTGGTAAATGCGCAGCACGTACAGATACAGCAGAGCGAGAACGGGAGCAAGTAATCAACGAGTAATTCCATTCATACTGCATACAATGCCTGCACTCGCAACCCTGCTCTTTTTTTTTTCTTTTTTTTTTGGGCGCTGCTGGCTGACTTCCCGTCTCTGCGGCCTGCGTTTCTCCAGCAAGTGCCGTGATTGGTGTAAAGACGAAATTATAAATCATATTGTTCAAGGGGGGAAGCGAGAGAGAGAGAGAGAGAGAGAGAGAGAGAGAGAGAGAGGTAGGGTTCTTTTTTGCTTTTGTTTTTTTTTTCTTCTTTGCCGCTGCCGCCGGCTCTCCCTCTTCGTTCGTCGTGCCTGGGGGAGGGGGGGGGGGAGGGGGGAAGATGATGAGGGAGGGGGGCCACTAACTACCTGTGCAGACTAAATACTAGTGTGCTGCTATCGGGTGATAAGATAGCTATAGAACAAAGAGTGCAGATGGGATAGTCAGACAGATGATTGTGACAATAGGGCAGACACTATGTGAGAATTGAGTTTTTTTTCTTTTTTTTTTAAAAAAAGAAAAAAGAAATGTACGGCAGTAAATAGTCAAATTAGCAATCAATACATAATGATAATACAGGGAGAGAGAGAGAGAGGTCGATGGATTTTACCCCAAGCAAAGCCCCCCCTCTTCCTCTTCCCCTTCCTCACTCCAAAGGCAATATACGAGCAACCTGACAGGACCCTCACGGTGTCGCGAGAGGGGAATCTATACTGTGCAATACAAATTTACTCGGTATGATACTATCAGCAAGTGCCTGCTAGTCAGTGGGATGCACATCATGAGGCAGGAGCCAACGCTCTCGGGCGCACCTGCAGCCCTGAATACATGTATGGTAATATTAGCCTTAATTACGGTACAGATATCAACCACGGTAATAATACGTCCATCGTAGCTGGTACGAGTAATCACTACAGAATGAATGAGAAGCCCATAGTAATTCTTGCCAAGGAAATGCCAAGTAAACAAGTAGGTTGTACTGACAGTTGACTGACAGTCTAATACAGCAATACAGGTACGGCGTACAGTGAAATTAATATCGCTGCAGAACGAAGGGGGGGGGAGGGGTGTTTCTGTTTGACAAGCTCGGATCCGCAAAAAAAAAGAAAAAAAAAGAAGAAGACAGGAGAAAAAAAGAAAAGAGAGAGAGAAAAAAGAAAGAAGAGAGACCGAGACGGTACAAGGTAGAGCAGCTGAACAGGTACAGACCACCATTGTCCCCCAACGGCGTCGTTGGATATTTTTTTATTTTTATGTTCATCCTTGGTTCGTACCCAGACGTAGGCGTCGGTGACTCTGTCAATGGAGTGTGCTCTGCTTCCTCCCCTCTCTCTCTCTCTCTCTCTCTTTTTCTCCTTCTTTCTTCTTCTTCTCTTCATTCCTCTTACCATGCACCCATACGATGTACTCGAGTCTCGTGGTAGCCTCCTCCTAGCAAATGAGTCCTACCAGTATCAGTACAGATCCATAGTGCTAGTGATACTGTAATACGACTATATATATGTATATATATATATATATATATATATATATGTATATATGTGTATGTATGTACCCTGTATTGCTCCCACTAAAATACTGCCGAGCTCTGCTGTACGAGTAATCCGGCCCGTGATTTACCCCCCCCCCCCCCCC